TGAATATGAACCATTGATCATAAGTGACTTGTAGAGTTAGAGATTTGAACCCTCCATTTCATAAATGGATCATCAACATGTGCTACAACTTTTATTCCTTTTTTTCTTTGACTATTATTTAAAGAAATTAAATAAGATAACATTAATCATAATATTATGCTTTATCCAAAATATGCATAACCCTTATGAAGCTTTTAAAGATTAATTCAAATCTTTCTCAATTCAAATCACATTTTCAAATCTCATAATAACTATCAATTCAACCCTGGGGCGTGCCACATTTCCAAATCTCATAATAGGTATCAATTCAACCCTAAAAAATAGGAAAATCTTAAAAGTGGGGCGTGCCATCCATGGGAATAAGAAGTCCCTATAATTGGAGTGTGACCCATGAGGTGGCTTTGTTGGCCCCACCAATTTAGGCGAGCCCATGTACACAATCGTTCTCAATGCTATTTTTAAATATTCAAAAATTATTAAAATATTTAAGAATTAATTTGAATAATTAAAACATTGAAAAACCAATATATCCATTTTTATAAATCCAAATTTTATAAATAAAATATCTAGAGATCTAGAAAATTTCAAAAATTAATTCTAAAATCATATCATCATAAAAAAAACACAATTAAATTCATTAGATGAGATAAGGATCCATATGGACTAGGAATAAAGATTTTGGGGCACTTCACATTCAACCGTGGACTACGGTCCACACTTGTTTTATCAACCGACCCAATATTTCCCATGACCCACAGTCCATACAGGATTAGTTGATGAGTGAAAGGTTGTATTCCCAGTTTGTGGATTTTAGGTTCTTCCCTAGGGACATGTCAATGTCAGATATTTCTCGCACATGTGCCTAAAAGGTGGTTCGTTTTCCCGAAACGGCTATCATTAAGCATACATGAGTTTCACCCTAAAAGGTGGTTCACTTTTCCGAAACGACTATCATTATACATGTCGTATGATGGTATATAGATGAAGCTTTGGCCTGTCTCTGAAGGCCACCATTACACAAAAGAGTGATACAGTCCCTTGGCTTACTCATCTGAGCATACTCTGACCTCATCCCTTATCAAATAGTTTTTTATGCCTAGGTAACATAGGTTTTTCCAACTGATTAGCCTAGACCGTTAAGTACAGTTCGGTATCAGTAAATGTTATTTGTTTAATATGGTATATGAGGGACCATACTCCAACTGAATTCACGTTCTATTATAACAAATTTTTTATTACACTCACCCAACTAGATAATGGCTCCTAGAGAAAGAAAGGAGAGAGATTATTGGACATAAACTAAGAGAGAATGAGGACGACATTGTGTTTTTTGATGCCAAACTTGGATGGGAGAGTGAAAGAGAGGGAGGATTCCAGTGATTGGGGATCGC